ATACCAAATGCTTTAAACCTCAAAAAATGGTAATTTTCCAAAGAACTTAGCATATTTGGCAAATATATTTGAGCTTTGAATATGTTGATCTGAAACTGAGTGGAAAAATCCTACAGCATCTGTATGTAAGTTCCAGCCATAGATTTAAAAACATGCAGCAGCAAATGCCTGGTCCTTAATGAAGGTCTCAGAGGGCCCTGGTGTTGACAGTGATGGAGGGAGGAAAGCACATCTCATCTGGGAGGAACAGATCCGGACGTGAGGCTGCAGTCTCCGATGCTTTGGCTGAGAGGGAGGCTTTGCAAAGCCCAGCTCAGAAAAGTTCAGCTTTTGTCAAATGTCCAGAGAAAAATTTAAATTTTAAAAATTAATATTTCATCATTTTGCCATCATTAATTTCTGGAAAGTATATTTTAGAATTTGATTGTGAGGCTTTGACTAATATATTGTGTTTTTTTTTTTTCATCTGTATGTAGTCAGGCTGCTCTACTCCTATTGTTGGCTATGGGAATAAGGCAGTATAAATGGGCCCATACTGAACTTGAACTGCGTTTCTGTCTTTCATGATTCATAGAATAGAAAACTGTACCAGTAAGCAGATCATATGATTCAATTGTATGTATGTATGTAATTCTAAAGCTATGTTCATTTGTTTCATTATTTTTGAAAGTTCAATTAAAATTAAAGGAAGGTAAGGAATGTTTCTGCTTATCTAAGGAGTCATGAGTTAAAAGTTGATAGTCCTAATTCTAAACTCTTTTGTCTTGCCAGCAAGCAACTTAGAAACACAATAACTCATTTTTTTATTGTCTAAAGTTTTACTTATGTCTCCTTTTTCCCCTATTGCCCCCCCCACCCCCACCCACCAGCCATTCCCACCCTGGGCAAGCCCCCACCGCCCCAGTGTCTGTGTCCATTGGTTATACTAATATAACTCATTTCTTCCATCATTTTCTCTTCTCTGCACATACATTCTACCTGTAACCATATCACAATACAAACACACCATATTTTGTTCAATTTTTTGTCTTTGCATATTCTTTTCCTTAATATGCCTCCACCCTCATATTTCTAATCAGAGAATTTCTATTTATCTTTAAGAATAAATTCAAATGAAACCTCCTCTAAGAGGGCTTCCATGATTGCACAAACACATTTAATGGTCTCTTCATCTGTACTAATAGAACATTGTATACACCACTATTAGAGTGTTTGTGTTATTGTAAAGGTTTTGAAACATACACAACATTTACAATAATAGATTCATCTTATAAAAGTTGAAGTATTATAGATGAGTATAAAATCTCTTTGACCATTACCCTCAATTCTTTCTTTCCACACTCCTTGGATATAACCACTCATCTCAGCGTGGGAGAATATTATATCTGGCTGTTTCTATTTATACATTATGCATATATATGTCCTTATATAAAACTGGATTGTCTTTGTGTGAGTTACCAAGAAAATGGCACAGCAGTGCATGCATTCTGCAAGTTAATTATTTCTTTGCATCTCTGTCTCATCTATTAGCTTGTAAGAGGTTTTCATTCATCTCATCAGACAGTGAAGTCTCTTGGTTCAAAGATGATCTGTGTGTATGTGTACATGTATGTGTATATGTGTGTACATGTTCATATGTGTGTTTTTTGTTGTCCTTGTACCTTCTTCATTCGCTCCTCTCAATAGTGCCCAATGACCATTTCATAGTTATCATTTTAATATATGTCTGTTGCCTAATTAGTATTATAGATCTGCATTGCTTCTTCATGATTATAGGAAGACTTGGTAGAATGAGAGCAAAATTGAAGATTGGGTACTGACCAACAAGATATTTAGTGTGTGTAATCCTTAGGCAAGTAGCATAAATACACTGGAATTTCAGCAGGTGACCTTCCTCTATTCATTTTCCTTCAAAAGAGTTTCTAATTAAGAGAGTACGGACCCACCACAAAGTGATAGAGAAGTCCATTCCATGTGTGTGTTTTCCTTAAGATAAGAAACATAAAATCTTTCCTCTTGAGGATTGTTAGGCAATTAAAGGAGGTTCATGGAAGAGAAGTTTATTGAGGCCAAATAAAAACAGCTTGGTGGTATATATTTTTTATCTTATTTTTATAAAGCACATTGCTAGTTATACTGTAAAAATTAGTTCAAGTTGTCCTGGGGCAGACAACTGTGCATAAATATTAACCACTCCAGTTTATATAAATGACAGTCTCTTCTCTCAAGTGGCAGAAATGCCTCTGGCAAAGAGAAAAAATGCCTGGGTGGCACATTTTCTATCAGTGTGTGTCTCTAACAGATGAGAAGACAAAGGAAAAACAAACTTGGTGACTAGTTCAGATGCCCCGTTACTTAATTGGTTTCTTGTATACTGAAGTCTGAAGGACCGTCTGCCATTTCTAGTCTAGACACAACAGGATTGATTAAAATCTAGTTTTCCTTAGTAGGGCTGCATCTCAGGCCAGTGAGAATCAAACAGCCCCTCATATTTTGCTGGGGGTGGGTTCCCTACAGAAAAGCATCTGATCTGAAATCAGACAACCTTATTTCAAGTCACAGTTCTGCCACTTGCCAGTCATATGAATTTTGGCCATTTATTTAACTTTTCTGGACCTCAGTCTTTTCCTCTGTAAAATTGGGATCATAATTCCTCTGTAGATTATAAAGCATGTTGTTAATGTAAAGTTAGGCAGAGTAGCCCGTCTTGTGCTCATGTTCATGTGGTGGTCATTCTTGGCTGTGTTTTTGTTCTTCTACTCACTCCTTTCAAACCTGTTGGGGGAAAGGTCTCTCATGGTCAGGAGCGTTTACTGGGGGTTGACTTGGGTATTCTTCACTTGCTCCTCCAGATCTACATGCTCTTCACCCTTCTTTGTCCTGTGCTGTCCTGGCAGAATTTGACCTTCAAGGGGATGCTGTTGCCTTCTGGCTTCTGGTTGTGCTTGGCCAGCGGGAGGTGTTGGCAGGTTCTGAGAACAGGAGGGTGAGGATTCCTTTATGCAGGAACAGATGGGGCCAGTGCCTGAGCTCCTGGCCACAGCTCTTCCTCAGGGGACCAGCGACATAGTTTTTTAATATATGTCTATTGCCTACTAAGTATTATGTATCCATGTTGCTCCTTCATGACTATGGGAAGACTTCATAGGATCAGATCAAAATTTCAGATTAGGTAATGACAAAAAGATTCTTAAGGTGTGTAATCCCTAGGCAAACTGCCTAAATGTACTGGAATTCAGTAGGTGACTTTCCCAATAAGTTAGAGTAGAAAGAAGTTTCCCTATTGATGCTTCCAACCAAATTACTACCAAATACCAATTATATTCATTTTCCTTCCAAAGATTTTCCTAATTAAGATTTTATAGCCTCATCACAGATGATGGATACAACAGCTATACTAATAAAAGGGTAATATGCAAATTGGTTGGGATGCCATCACAGTAACGACCAGTGTGGGTGGGCGGGAACTTGCAGCATCGGGGATGGAGGCGGGGACTTGCAGTGTTGGGGACGTGATGGTGGCTGCTGCTTGCCCAGGGCTGACCACTGCGAGGGCTGAGGCTCAGGCAATGAGGGCCTGGCGAGGCTCAGGCAAGCTGCAGTGGCTGCAATGGCTGAGGCTCAGGCAGCCTCATGGCCTGCAGTGGCAGCAGCAGAATTGTGATGGGGGTGTCGCCTTCCCCTGATCGCAGGGTCACCTCCCACAGAGGGAGGCCAGAGGCAGCAGCAATGAGGGGGTGATGGGGGCAGTGCCTTCCCTTGATTGGCCGGTTGCTTCCTGCAGAAGGAGGCCAGACTGCGGCTTAGGCCTGCTCCCCCGGAGCAGGCCTAAGCTGTCAGCAGGACATACCCTGAGGGCTCCCGGACTATGAGAAGGGGCAGGCCGGGCTGAGGGATCCCACCCCCTCTAGTGCATGAATTTCATGCACCGGTCCTCTAGTGTATACATAATACTTATTAGGCAATAGTCAGATATTAAAATAGTATGTCACTGGTCCCTTGAGGAAAAGCTGTGGCCAGGAGCTCAGGCACTGGACCCTCTGTTCCTGCATAAAGGAATCCTATGACCTCATCATGAGCAGTTAATTTCATGTGTTTTCCTTAAATAAGGAACATAGGGCTTCCTCCCTGACAAGCAGGCCTCCTCCTGGTGACAGGCAACCCATTATTGCTTGCTGGGTCTCTCTACTTTACAAACTCTCTCTTTGTGGGACTCTCCTGAGTTGCCTGTGACCAGGTCCTGTCTTTCTGACGGAGCCCAGGTTCATTGAAATAAAGAGCAGGATGGTCTCTGACTAGCTCACTCACCGTAACCACAGAAAGTCTGTTCTCATAGGGTTGATGGCACTTCTTTAAACATCTAGCCCATTTTTCTCCAAAATATTTTCTCATAATCATTTTCTACTACTTCTATTAAACTTTTCTGTACAGGTTTCCAAATAGATGTAAGAACACATGAAATCTCTTGCAAGTTTAGTAGTTTTCAGAATTTAACAAAATACATATTTCGAAGCAGTAGTATGGTGAAAAGATCATAAGGTTTTAAGTGAGACAGATTCGTGTTAGAGTTGTTAAGTCTGTCTTTTACTCGGTTTGTGATTTGGGGGAAATTAGTTGCCCTTTTATAGATTTGCTTATCCCAAGATACATTTTAAGAATTAAATAAATAAAATTGTGTCAGTAACATGCTTGGCATGGGGCCTGGCACGAAGGACGCCTTTGTGTATAATCCCTCAAGTCTGCAGTTATCCATCTGCTAGATATCAATCTGAGACCATGAATATGCTCATTGATGCAACTTTAACAAATGCTCAGTTTTTTATCCCCAAGTGGCCACGCACTCAAGTGTCCCTGTTCCATTAACTACTCCTGAAAAATGCCCAGAAAGTGAGGCTATGTCGTCTCTGTTGTCTTGTCTTTATTGCTGGGAAAAAGAAAGGATGGAAATAATGGCCTCATTGGAACCATGGCTACAGAGAGCACTATCTCGCTCAACTTACGATGTGGAGTTCACGGTATTGTTTATGAAGATGGAGAACAAACAAGATCAAGACTACTGCTAAGTCATCAATGCCACTCACAGAGCCTGTTCAATTGAGGGAATTTTTATGTCATGGAAAAGTTGCCTTCAACTCGGTACTTCTTGCATTAAGCAGAGCACCTCTCTCTGGACATGTTTAGAAGGGCAGAATTGGAATGACAGCAGATCCTTAAAGTTGTAGATGCTTTCAGCACCATTCCGGTACCATGCTGGTGCCCATGGCTGCTCAGTTGAATCCAGGAGAATTTAGTCTCCATCTGAAACTCAGCCTCGCAGGAGCCAGCTGGGGCCTCAGCTGCACTGACAACCTGAGTCTTCCAGAGACCATTTGTATTACCAGGTGTCATTCTTTTATTTAAAAGTAAACAGGATGGTTCACATAGTTAAATGACTCCCTTCTCTTACTCTGACTGCTCTGGAATTCAGCACAGGTGATGGCTGGATCCACCATGTCACGGACTCTCCCCTGGTGTCGAATTCTCAGGTGTTTCATTCAGACCCTGTACCAAGCTCATAGAGAAATTCCCAGAGTACTTTCTAATATTTTCATCTAGGATGTCCTTTTTCAGTGAGGTCATATCTTCCCTATTCATTGCTTAGCTCTAAAGCCGTATGTAAAGGAGAGAGTTTAAAATCCTTAATTTAAAATAGTGATCTGGAAGAATCGATGCTTCCAAAATTTGTCCATGAATCACACCCTTTATCGTTCCTCCTGGCAGGTAATGGAAAGTGGAAAAAATATAAATAAACAAATTTCACACGGTGGTATTCCCCGTTGTGTTGTTGCTCCAATTTAAAAGGACTTGATGTATGAGAGAAAGGAGAGCTAACGTTTCACTTATGCCTTTTCTCAGATTAGAGTCAACACAGAAAGAACATCATGGGAAGAATATCCACAAGAATGAATCTGACTTATTTTTTGAAATCTTAAAGAAATCTTTAATGTTCCAGGCAAATAGGGAGCCAGAAAAAAGACAATGAGGTTTTGAAAAGAAAAAAAATCAGTGGGTTCAATAAAAATATAAACAAAAAATAATGAACTATTCACTCATTTCTTTACATGGAGTATGTTTTTGTCTGATGTTTTATAACTTTACCCTTCTCAGTTCATCAGCAACAACATAGGCTATAAAAACGTCTAGTGGAGAGTGTGTGAGGAACCACTAGGAAGAAAATGTAGAACTTTAGGTTTACCTATCATGAATTCATTAAATAACTGTCAAAAGCTGTACACAAGGGATCTCTTTGATAAAGTAAGACTTGGGGACTGTTTGTGATGAGGTTTCAGTGACTCTGTGGCCTCAGGCTTCTGTGTCTGAGAGTCGAAGGGGGCAATCTGACTTTACATAATGCCAGAACAGGATTTTTAGAAGAAGCAGGATCCGTTTAGAATAACCCTGCGAAATAGCCTAGTCTGCATTTTCAACCTATGGGGTGTCATACGTATGTGACAGGGCCTCCTCTTACCTGCCACCAGCAAAAGCCCAACTCCTGTGCAGCCCACCCCTGCGCTGTCCGTGAATCTGAAGACTTGAGCAAGGGGCATGGCAGGTCCACCCCAGTGTTGTCACCCACGAGTGGGAGGGGTGGTAACTCCTCCCTGGGCTTGCAGTCGATGCTGTCGGCACACAGTAACGGCAGGAAGGGCAGGCATGTCTGCTCCAACAGCTGGTTTGGCAGAAGGGATTGTTCTTGGGAAACATTTCTCCTTAAAAAACTCAACTGGTCTCACTGATTCTGATTTCAGGATATTTTCAGCATCTGCCACTGTATCACTGTATACAGCAATACCTATAGGAAGCCCTCACCTGATGTCATCATAGGTTCTGCAACTTGAAGGGGAAGGATGAGTAGCAAAACCAGTGCTACCTTAGGCTACTTGATGTAAATGAGAGTCAAGTTCCTGTGGCGTCATTGACATTCTAATGAAAGGACATTGAATGAAATGTTATTCAAAGGCCAGCTGAACAGAAAACGTTCAATGAAGATGGTGCTGAACTTCATAAGGGTGATTTCATAAGTTTATGCATTTTTAAAAGCGAAGGATTTTGACAGAAGGATGTCTGTCAAGGGTGAAGGTCACTGCTGAGCCTCTGGTCCTCAACTTCAGCAATAACCACCCACCTGCACGGCTGTGATCTCCCACCAGAGCTGTGGTTCGCAATTGCTGATGTTCTGGCAATGGAAGGTGGACCCTGTCTCTCACGGGTGTGACTTTGAATTAGGTGGCCAAGTGCTATGGAGCCCAAGCATAGGACACTAGTGGGTGCAGGACCACAGGAGAGGTAGCCGAAATAACCCTTTTCCTTTTCCAAGCACAGGGCACCAATCAATGACTGTGGTGAATGCCCATGAAAATCAAAGTTTATAATTCTGGTGCTTCAGACATTGTCTTTGTTATAGAGGTAGATTGTGGGATTAGCAGGTTGGTAAAACCAGAGTGAGAAAACCCACATGTTCAGATCGTCTTTCCTAAGCCCAGAGAACTCCTCCAGGGAATAAATTTGGCTAACTTGTGATATACTGACAAGTCACCAGCAAACCAGTTTTAATTTTTTCAGTGGAATATTTGGGGTCATGTAAACAGAAGTGGGCAACCCCAGTAAGACAAATAATATTAGCCCCTCCTACTTTCTGTTCTGTTCTATTTGACTCTACAGTAGCCTTCAGAGGTGTGTTCCTAGACATGGGGTATAGGACAAAGGTGGAACTGTGCAGTCTGGGCTTTTGATTCTCTACCTTCTAGGAAAGCAATTTCTTCTACATTACTGATCTTCATTGATTTTTTTCAACTATGTTTCTTAGAATATAAATGTTATTTTGATCTGAGAGGGTCTTCTGCCCTCTCCTATTTGCATTGTTTTCCTTGGAGATTGTCCTTGGTCTTGTGCCCATGTGAGTGCTTCCTGAATGTTTGCCTTGGCTCACTCCCTTCCCTCCCCTAACCCCTAGGGCTATCTTCCATCACATCTTTCCATGGACCAGTCATACCCATCAATTGTTAGTCCATCATTTTTACATCTCTAGCCATGTTCATGATGCTCCCTTAATCTTCAGTGATGTTTCCTGGTTTCTGCCTTGTTAGGTCCAGCAGTGTGATAGAAGCTTATCACCAGGTGTGAGTCATGGGTGTCCATCAGTAGGCAGAACTCACACAAGCCTGTATGCTGCTGGGCAGCACTGTTGAATGTCAGCTCTGCGTATCCTGCTCTCTGACATTTATGTTTACGGATCTATCTCGCTGACCACAGTTGTCATACTGAACGTTCTCAGATGTGTAGGCCTCTGTCACACTTTAAATCCCATCCTCTTAAAGTGCACAGGTACTTAAAATGCTTTTTGAATTTGAGTGAATGAATCATCTTCCTTGATTTGAGGGCTCTGTGTCCATTAAGCTAGCCCTATTTCACTTTTACTGACTTGATAGCATATCCCTTTGTTGACTTATGTTGGTCCTTTTCATATGGATCGATGTCAAATTTGTATCACCTTCTATTTTAGTAGCTGAATGTTAGAAATTTCAAGCTGTTATTCTAGATTAGAATGATAATATTGAATGATAATTACATCACCTGATAAATTAGCTACTCCTCTGAAATCTATGTTACATTCCAATTCCAGAAAAAAGTAACCTTTATATCTCTCTGTTCAGTAGAAAAAGCCAAGAGTAGAACCCTGAAATATTTTAGAAATAATTTATCTCTAAAAGATTTCTGCATCAACCCATTGACCAAAATACTTATGGTGGGCTATATACCCAGCTATGTGTATATTTAATGACACTGTTTTCTAGTCTGTATTTATCAGTACATTCCCAAAGACATTTTTAGCAGTCTTTTTTGTAATCAAGACACAGTGCATCTATAATATCATTTGTTCAAATCTTGAACCTCTAAGTTTAGTTGTCATAAAAATAGTAAAGACAGGAGTCTGAAATAACTGGGTCCTCAGAGAGGTTTGTCCCACATGGGAACCAGGAACCATATCTCATTTGAATCTACAACATATTACTGTGGGCCCTTTAGATACAAGACCACTGGGTCCAATGATCACAGTGATAGACATTTAAAAATACCAATTGCCCAAGCAGAACACATGTACATACCATGTAAGGCTCAAGGATCAGTACCTGAGAAGATAAACACAAGGAATCAGTGCACCAGGGTTGTTTTCAGATGGCAAAAAATGGAGTGTGAAGGAGAGCAGCTCATTTTGAGGATACATTTTACTTATGAAAAGATCACATGAATAATCATCTTGTTCTTTCACTCCCGTCAACATACATGCCACACACATCCATGGCCTAACCTCTCTTTAATGGACAGTCTGTGATTATCCATTATCCATTTTGGCTGCAATTGAAAACTTATGCATTTCTTTGTGAAATGGCTTCCTTATTAGAATCCTAAAGCACTTTCAATTCTTATACATCTTTTCACCCACACAATGAAAATGATGCCTATATAGCAAGTCCAGCTCTGGGCATCCTAAGGTCCCCCTGCACCCACAGAGTCCGGCCCATTCTTGCCTTCCGAGGCACCAGGCTGTTTCTCCCCCTCACATTTCACCGGAGTTACAGCATGCAGCATCCAACCCTGTTTAGGAAGTTGTAATGTGCTGCACAGAGTTTTCAGTTAGGTCCGATTTATTTGATTTTTATTTTCGATGCTAAAAGGGAACCTTAAACATGACCCTCAAAAAAGTGCCATAACCTCCAGAAAACATGTCTAGAAGCAGAGAAAATGAAGGCATTCTTGGGATTCCCTGGAGCAATGACAGAAGCCCGATCTGTGAAGACTCTGACAGCTCTTTCTGGTTGCCATGGTGAGAGAGGCCTTGCTGTTTATAGGCCATTAACGAGATGCTTATGCTCCTCAAGGTTCTAAATTAATTGTCTGGTGCTCATCTTCCTCCTACATAGTGTGATAGTGTTGAACCAGTGGGTAAGCCTCACATAGAGACTGGTGGGCTGATTCTTGAAGCTGAGCAAGGATGCTCTTTCCACTTATCTAAATTCTGTGTGCGTAGTAAAAGTGCTATGCATCATTATTCCACCTCTAGTAGGTGTTTGCAACCACCTCCAACCCTTTCCAATATTTCCTTGTAAAATAATATGTATCCGGTGGCCTGACTCGCAATACAAACCCGGAGAATTAATGCCACCGACCGAGGAAGCCTTGCCCATGATGAATGGGGCACTTAGAGTTGATGTACCTTGTACCTTCATTTCAAAGCAATGCCTTTGTACCATAAAACACATTTACTATGCAAAACTAGTTTTTACATCCTGACTTTTCATTGCTGTTTGGGATGGCCTATGAGCATTAAACAATTCCTAGCTTTCCTCTTTCTCAGCTTCTGGTAATTATTCCGCCTTTTCTCCCTAAAGTCGATGGGAACATCTTTTGAACAACTATATGGTATCACCTTTGCATGAGCACATGAAAAAAA